ACCCCCCCCTCCAGCCCTGTGATCCTGGGCAGGCTGCAGGCGCTCCCTCGGCCTCATGGGAATAATGCCAGTCTGTCAAGAGGAGCCAGTGCAGGGTGCGGGGGAGCCACCAGCAGGCATGAAGAGCAATGCCTCAGCCTTGCTCACTGAAGGCCAGGGGAGGGACAGCCAGGGAGGCTGAGGAGGCGGGAGCCAGGGAGAAGGCAGGAGAGGCAGCAGCTCCTGACCCTGTTGCCACCTGTGCCCTCAGTTCTTCCCCAGTGGCGAGGCCATCTGCACGGGCTCCGACGACGCCTCCTGCCGCCTGTTTGACCTGCGGGCAGACCAGGAGCTGACGGTCTACTCCCATGAGAGCATCATCTGCGGCATCACGTCCGTGGCCTTCTCCCTCAGCGGCCGCCTGCTCTTCGCCGGCTACGACGACTTCAACTGCAACGTCTGGGACTCCATGAAGGGCGAGCGTGTGGGTAAGGGTCCCCCTCCCGCCGCTCCCCTTGTTGGGAAGGCACTGCTGTTCCCGGGTCGTTAGATAACGCTGCGCTCTGCCCCCAGAACCGAGTTCCCAACGTAGGATCGTCTTCTCCGAAAGCAGAGTTGCTCTGAGGGCCTGCCCCACCGCCCAGGGCCCGAGCTGCTGCCTCCAGCGCAGCTCCTTCAGGTTGTGCCCAGCCCTGAGGACCTGAGAGTCCCGTCAGGTCGGGTTTCAGGGGCTGCCGGCCTCACTGCCAGGAAAGGGCGGCCTCGGGGGATGATGCGATGAGCAGGATCAAGGTCCAGAGTGATCCGAGGGCCCTGATCCCAAGCGAGGGGCTTATAGGACCAGCCTGGTCTGCAGCCGAGTCAGTGTGGCTTCTTCCCTTCAGACAGGTCAGGTGCTCCATGAAAATAAACACTGGCCAGAGAGTCAGGGTCCGAATCCCAATTCTGTGGCTTCTTTTCCGAGTGCCCTTGGGCAAGTCACTTCCCTCTGGGCCTCAGTCTCTTGGTTTGGAAACAAAGAAACTGCACAGAAGGGTTCCTTCCCACGGTTTCCAGCGCCTTTCTTTTCTCATAGCACAGGGACTCTGCCGACCCTTTGCCATCTCTCTCTGCCCCTCCTCACCCCGGGTTCTTGGCAGAGACTGGCCTCAAGAGAAGCCGTACTGCTTAGGGCTAATCCTCTTTGGGTCTTCCCGTCTCCACCAGGGGGGCTGAAGTCGGAGCCCAGCCCTCCTGACCTGGGATTCCTGACACGAGGAAATGTCAGATCGGCTGCACACGCTGATTTGGCGCACACACACGCCCCGCCAAAACGGCACATGCAGACCCGCTGACTCCTCGCCCTTCTCCTCAGGCATCCTCTCTGGGCATGACAACAGGGTCAGCTGCCTGGGGGTCACAGCTGACGGGATGGCGGTGGCCACCGGCTCCTGGGACAGCTTCCTGAAAATCTGGAACTGAGAAGGCTGGAGGAGGGGAGGTAAAAGGCCGTGAAGACACTCAGCTGCCCCTTGCTCGGCTCACTTTCTTCAAGGTTCCTTAGAGGCTTTCTCTTCTATCCCCCAGCTGCCGTTCCCACAAGCTTTCTCCCCTCGAGACCCGAGGGGGACACAGGGTGTGCCTCTGGGAGGCAGCATCTGAGCTGGGCAGAGAACCATCCCATCTCCTCCCATGGTCTTCCCTCTCTGTGGTCCTCATAGTTTCTCCTTTAATAAGTAAGGACAGCAGACCCCTCCCCAGCTCTGGGCAGCCCAGCAGGCGTCAGTAGGAGGCTCCAGGCCCGAGGACTCCTCCTCCAGGGCTACTGCCTTTGTCGGGGGTAAAGACCTGGCCAGGGCACTCGGCCCCGTGACTATGGCTCTGGCACCACCAGCGTCCTGGCCCCCTTCTCCTTCATGCTTTCCCCTTGGCCTACCTTCTTTTTTTTTTCTTTTCTCTCTCTTCAAATCACCTGCAATAAAGTATAGCACCCTGGTATATCTGTGATGTTTGGTTTCCACCCTACTTCTGTTCCAAAAAGATTCAGTTCCCTCTTAAGTAATAAAATATTACAGGTACAAGTGATAAAGACTGGTTACCAGACGGCTTGTGGGCAGAAAAGTAGGATAGAGGCAGAAGCCCAAGGCTTGCAGGGAAGGCTGGAGATGGATTAGGAGAGAAGGTATTCGCCGGGTGGCTTGGGTGTGCGTGCACAGCAGTTACCGTAGCCTGTCTGTGGTGCGTACATGTGTGTCTGTATAGGAGGATTATTCTGAGAAAGATCCTATACTAACAATAGCCTAGGTGGCCGTCATGCCCTCATGCCGTGATGCCCTCACACTGTCACAATCCCACAATCCATCACCAGGAGGCTGCGTGCACTGCGGGCGCATGTGGGTGGATGGGGACTTGACGCAGTGTGAGCAGCATGGAGGCAGGCCCTGGTGGCTGCTCTGCATGACCAGGCCTGGGAGTCCCAGGACCCCAAGCTCCGGCCTACCTCTTTGGGGCAATCCATTGAGGAGCCCTGGATGGGTGGGTGGGGCCTACCTCTTTGGGGCAATTGATTATGGGGCTCCTGCACTGTGAAAGGGCACAAGCCAGGCTGGGGGACCCTCCCCCCACCCCCACAGTGCACAGATTTTTTTGTACTGAGTCTCTAGTCCTATATAATAAAACCCTAATATGCTAAGGTGGGTGCCAGTGGGGAGGGAGGAGGGCCCAATCACCCTGCGCACCGTTTGCCCCACAGATCAGCCCTGATCACTGGCTAGGCCTAGGGATCCTACTCTATATATTGGGAATAGTCTCTTCGGTTTAAAAATTAAAACCTGGCTGAAACCGGTTTGGCTCAATGGATAGAGCGTCGGCTTGGGGACTGAAGGATCCCGGGTTTGATTCCGGTCCAGGGCATGTACCTTGGTTGCAGGCACATCCCCAGTAGGGGGTGTGCAGGAGGCAGCTGGTCGATGTTTCTCTCTTATTGACGTTTCTAGCTCTCTATCTCTCTCCCTTCCTCTCTGTAAAAAAAACAATAAAATATATTATAAATAAATAAATAAATATAAAAATTAAAACCTGGCAAGGCTACTCTAACACTGAAAAAACAGGATAATGCAGTGAAGACATGCATGGACTCTGGCTTCCACATTTTGTGGTCAGCCAGTGTGACAAAGCCAAACACTTAACTTCTCTCTGCTTCTGTTTTTCCACCCATAAGATGGGAAAGTGGTACTACTGCCTCAGAAGGGTTATGTTATGTACTACTTTTTCAAATCAGAGCAAAACAATGTAGCTGCCCACACAGCAGCAGATGCCTTTCACCTGTCTGAAAAGCACGGTCACTGATGCACGCAGCATCCCAGATTTCGAGAGGGATGTCCGATTGCCTGATTGCCTAAACCGGCAGTTGGACATCCCCCGAGGGCAAAGGCTAGGCTGAGGGACACACAAATGTCATGCACTGAGCCTCTGGTCAGATTATAAAAGGCCTTGAGCCAAAACCGGTTTGGCTCAGTGGATAGAGCGTTGGCCTGCGGACTGGAAGGTCCTAGGTTCGATTCTGGTCAAGGGCATGTACCTTGGTTGCGGGCACATCCCCAATAGGGGATGTGCAAGAGGCAGCTGATAGATTCTCTCTCTATCCCTCTCTGTGAAAAATCAATAAAATATATATTTTTAAAAAAAGGCCTTGAATGTAAGGCTAGTCTAGACTTTACCCTAAGGCCAATGGAAAACCATTGAAGAGCTTTGAGCAGAGTAATAATGTGATCAGCTAGGCTTCTCAGAAAGATGAACCAAGCAGCAGTGTAGGTTGATGAAATGGAAGGAGGAGAGACAGGAGGGAATAAAGGCAACAGTAGGAGCCAGGTGGCAAGAAATTGCAAGAGCAATAGGACAGGAGGCACAAGCAGAGGGATGGGGAAGAGATTCAAGATACAGAATCACCAGGATTTAGTGACCAAGTGCTTGGATGTGAGATATTAAGAGGGAAAGGCACGCCCTGGCTGGTGTGGCTCAGTTGCTTGGAGCGTAGTCCCATACACCAAAAGGGGGCGGGTACGAGGAGGCTTGAGGAGGGGAGGTAAAAGGCCATGAAGACACTCAACTGCCCTTTCCCCTGCCCATACCCAGGCTGCAGGTCCTGATGGGGAACATGCTGTCAGGCATGTGCAAGAGGCAACTGATTGATGTTTTTTGATCTCTCTTCCTCTCCCTTCCTCTCTAAAATCAATTAAAACTTTTTCTTTTTTTTTTTTTTTTAAAGAAGCTGGGCCCATATGGCTCAGTAGTTGAGCATAGAGCTATGAACCATGTCATGGTCCGATCCCTGGTCAGAGTTTATGCCAGGATTGCACTCGATCCCCACTAGGGGGCATGCAGCCAGTCAATGATTCTCTCTTATCATTGATGTTTTTATCTCTCTCTCCCGTTCCCTTCCTCCCTGAAATCAATAAAAATGTTTGTTGGGTGTTTTTTTTTTAAAAAATAAAAAAGAGGGAAAGAGAATTATCTTTTTGGGGAAAGATCACAAATTCAATTTTAAGACAAACATATAATCAGGGCAAAAAAAATGATCTTGGAGTGCCTATGGGGCAGATGGATAAGGTCAGGATTGGTCAGAGACGGAAGTAAGCAGAATAGAGGTAAGTAGTAGCTAATCCCTAGATATGAAGAGCGAAAAGAGTCAAGGACAGAGAGTCCTGATGAACATTCTGATGTTTAAGGGAGGTGCGCTGAGGAGATTGAAGGTGCCGGTGCAGAGCACTCAGGCCAGGAACACAAGCTCCCCAGGCTGCCTTTCTATACAAAGATGAACCAGTGCAAGGTTTAAGTATAACAGTTAGCAGCATCACTTAAAACCACTTCCTTTAATTTACAAGAAACACATTATACACAAAGAAAGCTATTCATTCCAGAGCTGGTAGGTTAGGGGGAGTCGAAGAAAATGAGTTCTTTCCAGTCTCCCAGGGAATGAAGGGGCGTGAGGACTCGGAATATCGCTGGACCCTGGTGAACCCAGGGCCGGGGCCACCCCTGGCCTAGTTCTCTACCAACGCAAAGTGCTGGTTTTCCTTGTCATGGTCCTGACCTTGCTCCCACGCTTGTCCTCCGCTTCTCAGAAGCCGTCCAGTTCCCAGAATGGCCCCTTCCTTTAGTTCCCTGACGTTTTCACTCAGGGAAGAAGGCCGCTTACCCTACAAAAGGCAGTATGCAAGTTGGGGGAGGGAGGGAGGTTGTTCGGGAGAGGGAAGATAGGGTAAAGGGCCTCCCACCTCTATGTTGGACATCCTAGGAATAGCCCTCACCCTCTCCCTTTACCTGTCGTAGTGTCAGAGTCCCAGGGGAGTTGTCATCCTGCAGGATGGTGAGGGGAGATCTCCCTAGTGCCTTGCCCTTTGGTTTCCGTCTATTTCGCTTAGAACCTAGGGTGGGTAAAGAGTTTAAAGAAAGGAGCCAAAATTAGGGGCTTATAGTTCATTCCTCCTATACTATCTGTAGACATCAGGACATCATTCCAACTTCTCTTCCTTATACTTGCCCTTAGATTCTTTACCTGAAGATCTAGGCGTCTCAGGGTCTCTCGTGGGCTTGTCTGAGCCCTGGCCAGTCATGAGGGTTTCTGAGGGCTGTCCTGTTTCTTCCTCGGAAAACACCTGCTTGGAGGGGAGCTCAGTCTGGCTCCCATGAGGCATCTGGTCCTCAAGGGAACACTGGGTGCCCAGAGGCAAGTCCACATCAGAAGATGAAGGTACCTCTAGAACAGGCTCTGGGGGAAGATTTGACTTGGGGGTTTCTGCCTCAAATTCTTCACTCAGCTCTTTCACCAGTGGGGCTGTGAGCTCTAGGGGAGAGACGTGAAGTGAGATAGTGACTCCCTGATACAAATTGTTCAGCACAGAGGAAAAAAAAATATAAAAGCCTTAGGATCCATGGTGGGAGAGAAATTAAGAGGGAAATCAAGGTGAGAGAGAGCAAAATGTTGAGAAAAGAGTGAGATGGGTTCACAGGAGGAGGATAGAGGCTCCTTTAAGAAGGAGCCCTGAGAGGATGGCTTCATTGGCCCAAGAATGCTAGCTGACAACCTCATCAGAATTCCCTGGGCCCAACACTCACCTCCACTGCTGGTCTTCATAGGTGTCCGTGCAATGCCAAGGGTAGGAGAGCGGGGATCTGAGTCCTCGGCCTGGTTAGGATCCTCCAGCTGTTTCCCGGATGCTAGATTGGGCTGTGGAGAGCTCTCCACCTGTCAAGACCAAAGGCCATTAAAGTATGGGCCCTGACTCTTCTTCCCTCCCAGGTTTCCAGGCTTAAGTCAATGTTTCAGGCAGGAACTGCCAAGGTCTTCCGACATTCCCGGGAATGTAGAGGTAGGGAGTGGTGGCTCTCTTAAAATCAGATTAGGCAGAGGCCAAAGAATGCGGAGTTTCTCTTCCTACCCATAACGCGACCCAGAGTACCTGGATGGGAGTGCGCGTGATGCCAGCACTGGGTGAACGCGGGTCCGCCACTCGAGCCAGAAGCTTGTTGTGCGGTGGAGGCCGCGCCGGCGGCGTGACTGGAACGCTCTTGGCTGAGCCCATCTCAATCCGGAGGAAGAGGGTGGGGCAGGGCCCGGCCCGGGGCGAGAAGGGTATGCCTGTGAGAAGTGACTCAGGTCTCAGCCCTCCTCGCGACCGTGTTCAACCTGGGACTCCAGACCACCCGATCTTCCCAGGCCCCAGCTAAGGAACCTCCTGGCCGCTGGGCCAGAGACCTCTGTGGGCACGGTGGCTGGTGCAATTGACCAGGCGGCTCATTCCGGGCCTGCGGAACCCTCTAACTAGCTCACTCATTTATTTAAATCACTTACCGGGCCCCAACTCCACTTGGGTGCACAACAAACAGCTGCAGCCTCAGCTCCCGAAGCTGACTTTCAAACCTCCCGCCACGCCCCCTGCCGTGACGCTATTGGCTGAGCTGACACGGGCTCCTATAGGCCCGCTCTGTGAGACCCGCCCGCAGGGAGGGAAGCCATTGGGCTGAGAGGACGTCTATCATGGGAACCACGGAGTCAATGGGCCGCGGCTTGGCTCACCCAGCGGTGACGCCTCCTGGATAAAAGGGGAATTTCGTTCCTATTAGGGTGCAAATTGTCCATCGTGGAACTTTAAGGGGTGCCCGTCTTTGCTTTTGAGACCTTCAGCTTCAAAACCAAGTTATTTTATTTTTAAAAAATAGAAAAAGAGGTAGGATGATTATGCTACTATGTACAGATGCAGGCGGAGACAGAGTTATGAAGGGTTTTTTGAGGCAAGAGAAATAGTAATCCGTAGAGGCTGACGGCGTCATCAGTCTCACTAGACTCTAACCCGCTTACACTCCGCCTCATTAGGGAGGCCCCTTCCAAATACCAAGTCTCCAGGAAAGTCTCTGATTTACACAACCGTCCGTTTCTGCTCCTCAATAGGAGGCAAGCGAAGGGACCGTAGCGGGGTCCCAGAGTGCGAGCTGCGAAAACTCCGGGGCCCACCTCGCTGCCCGGCCCTGGAAGAGAGGGATTGGTCCTTTCGGCCATCGATTGCCTTGGAGGCGCTTTTCATTGGCTTTAGTCGAGAGTAGGGCAGAGGGCGGAGCACTAGGAGGCAGGCTCCGTCCAACTGCCATTCTCGCGCGTCTTCCCTGGAGCGCATGCACCTAACGAGTAGTGCTCATTGGACCGCCGGAGTACGGGGAGGGGGACTAGGAAAGGTGGGAGCTGCTCTGTGTGAAGGAGCTACTGCCGGTGTCATGGCGGAGCTGAGTGAGGAGGCGCTGCTGTCAGTATTACCGACGATCCGGGTCCCTAAGGCTGGAGACCGGGTCCACAAAGACGAGTGCGCCTTCTCCTTCGACACACCGGTAAGCCCATTCCCCACGTCCGCAGCGAGCACGACTTCCTTCCATAGCCCTGGTCATTCTGCCGGGGCCTTGCAAGGCTTGGGCTACCGCCTCCTTGCGGTGCACCATGGGACGTGTAGTCTCCCATGCTACTCGCTGCCGTAGCTTTTAGTTAGCTGGAGCTGTCGGGTGACTACCGCCCCCGGAAGCCACCGCGCCCACTTCAGCCGCTCCCCGTCTCGTGAAGCACTGTGGGAATTGTAGTCGCTCTCTTTCCTCTGCCGTTCTAAGCTAGGGGCGCAACCCGATCATCGGACTACATCTCCCAAGTGGAGACCTGCGAAAACCTGGGAGTTGGCCTTGCCTATCGCGCATGGTTCTCCGGGGTTTGTAGTCTCGTGTAGGAAGGATGGGGCGAACCCCCACTGTTCTGGGGCAGGGTTGAGGTTGGAGGGTGGATGCTGCGGTTCCCGGGCTCCTCGTAGTCTGGAAGTGGCTGTGAGGAAGGCCGTTTCTGAGAAAGGCCGAGCTACGGAGCCTCCACCCATGATTAATATGGACAGGGGGCGGGGAGGTGGGTCATTGGTGGTAGGGAGGGGAGGAAAGCTCTAGTCGTTTTCTTCTTGAAGATGAACCATTCCCTCGGCCCCCTCTTTCCCGCGCATCACAAAAAGCAGAGGGGACCCTTTTCAAAGTATTTTTAGAGAGGGTTTCTTTCTTACATGATACTAAGGCCTCTTTCCCATCCCATTGGCACTCTTGGCTAGTTAGACAAAGCCACCACCCACTCCATACTTCACGTTATGCAGGCTCCACCCGGTACCTCCCTTCCTGCACTTCTCCCTCTGTGTCACCCTCCAGCAGAGACGAGGCTCCGGCCCGGGCAGAGCCTGAGCTGAGAGGGCAGCAGCCTGGTTGGGATCCGCCCCCCTCAGCAGCCCTCCCCTCAAGCCTCTGGGCCCTGCCCTGGGTGTTCAGCCAGACCAGCTCATGGCCAGGAAAACTGCAAGTCAGAGTGGAAAGGATCGTTAATGCAATGTTGAGTTATGGGAGCATGATTTAAAGCCAAGGGTAGGATCACCACTGATTTGTGGTTTGCTTGGTTTGCTAGGCTTTGAGCTTGACCTCAAACAATGTGCTGCTTCTCTACAGTCTGGCTTTGGTAAAGCTAAAGCTAAAAGAGGACTGCTCAGAGCAGAGCTCCAGGGTTCCCAGTCCTTGGTGAAACCAGCATTTTTCATTTCTAACAGAGGAGTTTAATCCCTGCAGTTTCCTCATGCCCCCGGTTACCAGAGGCATGGCTCGGAGGCACCTACCATCTTTCTCAGGAGGAAAAGGTTTTTCTTAATTACCAACTGATGGCAGAAGTCAGTGGATTCCTCTTTAAACTCCTGTCTTTCTCCTACTAACTGCTTTGAGTAATCCAAAAGGGATTTTGGTCACCTTATCACACTTTACTCCTCTCACCCCAAGCCTGGAGAGCTCTCGTGCGGCTGAGTTGCTTTGCTAACTAACTTCCAGCACATTTGATTATCTTCAAGTTGGGTTCCTGGTAGAAAGAGAGCTTACATGCCGAAACCAGTTTGGCTCAGTGGATAGAACGTTGGCCTGGAGACTGAAGGGTCCCCCCAGGTTCGATTCTGGTCAAGGGCATGTACCTTGGTTGCAGGTATATCCCCAGTGGGAGGTGTGCAGCAGGCAGCTGATTGATGTTTCTCTCTCATCGATTTTTCGAACTCTCTATCCCTCTCCCTTCCTCTCTGTGGGGAGTCAATATTTTTTTAAAAAAGGAAAAAAAAGAAAGAGAGCTTACGTGACCTGCCTGATGAAAAATGCTCTATTTGTTTACAACTGTTATAATCCACACTGTTCTAGGGAGTGGAACACAATCTGTGGGATCAAGAACTGCCTTAGATGATGCCCCAATTTTACTGTGACAGCAGAGAATTTTTCAAGGCCACTGGGGCTTTTATTCCAGGAAGAAGATGCCTGCTGTTGCTCAAAACCTTGGATATGGGGGGTCTAAGGGAAGACGCTGTTGTTGTCCCAATTTCCTTCTCCATCACTTGAGTCACAAAGGCCCTGGGAGACTTGCTCAGTGTGGGGGAAGCCCATCCCTCTCCCGTCAGCCGTGGCTAAGAGTGGACGCCTGTCTTTCCGTGTTTTCTGCCTGGGGTATATGTGTTCTACCTGTCTCAGCAAGGGTTCCTAGGTTGTTCTAGAAAGGGGCTGGCTTTGAGGTTGGAGGTTGATGGGACTTCATTGGGGAATTAGTTACTGGTCAGAGGGGAGGTGACAGGGTGGCTGGAGAAGGACATGATCCCTGCCTGGCTGGGTCCACCTTTAGCTGTGAGCTGCACCCAGGCATTGTTCCCCTGGAGTCAGGCTCCAGCAGGAGAGGAGGGAGAAGACTCACTGTGGACCGGGTTCCACTACCTCGCAGAGTGTGGTAGAAGAAAGATCTGGTCTTGCTGACATGCTCTGGGGTTAGATATGCTATAAGAATCTGCTTGTCCAGTCTGGTAGGTTTTCTTTATCTTTCTTTTTTTATTTTATTTTATTTATTTTTAATATACTTTATTGATTTTGTACAGAGAGGAAGGGAGAGAGAGAGTTAGAAACATCGATGAGAGAGAGAGTCATCAATCAGCTGCCTCTTGCACACTCCCTACTGGGGATATGCCCGCAACCAAGGTACATGCCCTTGACCGGAATCGAACCTGGGACCTTTCAGTCCCCAAGCCGACGCTCTATCCATTGAGCCAAACCGGTTTCGGCTCTTTTTTTTTTTTTTTTTTTTTTTTTAATCTTTATTGTTGAAAGTATTACATATGTCCCCCTTTTTCTCCTATTGAAACCCCCCAAACACACACCCCAGGCCTTCACTACCCTGTTGTCTGTGTCCGTGGGTTATGCATGTTGGTAGGTTTTCTTAATCCTGGAGATCAGGTGGGGTTTGTCATGTTGTCCTTGGTTTAGGTTCAGTGTCTGACATACAGGTCTTGCCTCTCCAAGGAAGGACCCTGATCCCCTCTGAATGTTATTTCTGGTCCTGGAAGTCTAGGGTATTTGGTCTCCTTTTATTTCCTGGGTCTCTTGGGTCCAGAGAAGAGGTGGAGGGAGTTCTCTGCGGTTGACTGGAGGGCTCCCACGAAGGAGCAAGGAGGAAGAGGAATGTGACTGATAGGTGTTCGGCTCCTGGTGTCCTTGTTGGCTGTTATCAAAGGATGGGGAGAACCTTGGCCATGTACTGAGTACTAAGTAGGTAAATGTCTTACCAAGAGCCACACCTTGTTAGACAACAGAACCTTTCTTTGGAAACCAGAAGTTTTCGAGCCCCGAGTCTTTGTCTTCCCACCTGGCCAGGCTTCATCCCCCGTGTTTCCTCCCTGCTTCTTGTCCTGCAGGAGTCTGAGGGTGGCCTCTACATTTGCATGAACACATTCCTGGGTTTCGGGAAACAGTATGTGGAGAGACATTTCAACAAGACGGGCCAGCGCGTCTACCTGCACCTCCGGCGGACCCGGCGCCCGGTAGGGACGGGGTGGGCTGGGCCTGGGGACATCCCGGCACGTCCCACTGGGTCCCATTTTGAATCTGTGCCGTTCTGACTTCTGTAGGCCTCCATTCCCCTCTCACCTGTTTCGGTTGGTATCCTTAAAACCCAGCACACGTGTTTTAGCTCCATTCTGTTCTGAGATTAACTCATTGCATCCCGTCCATTCACCCCGTTTCTCCCTTACCTGGGCTCATTGCTGATCCTGCCCTTCCTGCCTCGTTGCAGAAAGAGGAGGACGCCACTGCAGGCACTGGAGACCCCCCACGGAAGAAGCCCACCCGGCTTGCTATTGGTGAGCACCACCGCGGTCTCATTCTTCTGAGCTGGTCTTGAACTAGGAAAGCCCGGAAGGAATGCGCCTGATGAGTGGGCCTTGAACTCTGGAAGGGACGGAGTCGAGTGCTGTATCAGCGAAAGGACATCCACCTGTGGTCGTTGTCCTACTATTCTTCTTCCCTGTCTCCCAGGTGTCGAAGGCGGGTTTGACATCAACGAGGACAAGTTTGAGTACGATGAGGATGTGAAGATTGTCATTTTGCCGGATTACTTGGAGATTGCCCGGGATGGGTTGGGGGGACTGCCTGAGTTTGTCAGAGATCGGGTATGAACATTTTCCCACCCTCCCCGAGATTTTAGGGCGAGCACTGAGAAGGCTAAAGACCAAGTGCTAGCAGGGCTGGGGGCTGGGCACTGTCCCTGACCCTCTCTCTCCCCAGGTGACCAGTGCAGTGGAGGCTCTACTGTCGGCCGACTCGGCCTCCCGCAAGCAGGAGATCCAGGCCTGGGATGGGGAAGTGCGGCAGGTGTCTAAGCATGCCTTCAACCTCAAGCAGCTGGACAACCCTGCTCGAATCCCTCCCTGGTGAGACCTGGCCCCTCGGCCTCGAGGCACAAGCCCCAGAGCAGAGCAAAGAGGCCAGCCTCCTGGGGATCTGGTGGGAGAGAGGGCCGGGAGCAGGACAGCTGCGGAGACTTGAGGAAGAACTAAACGTGGACGCCCAGAGCAGGGGAGGACGGAGAGCTCATGGATTGGCAGGGCCCAGGGAGTCCCCTTTCTCCTCCACTCTGAGATACCCCTGACCCGCATTGCAGCCCATATTTTTCTCCTGGGTTAGTGGCTGGAAGTGCTCCAAGTGTGACATGAGAGAAAACTTGTGGCTCAACCTGACGGATGGCTCCATCCTCTGCGGCCGACGCTACTTCGACGGCAGTGGGGGCAACAACCACGCAGCGGAGCACTACCGGGAGACAGGCTACCCGCTGGCTGTCAAGCTGGGCACCATCACCCCCGACGGCGCCGGTACCCCCCCCAGCCACCTCCAGGCCAAACGTCTTTTAGCTCTCACTCGTTTTATTGGCACAAATAATCCATGAGTACCTTCTCCTGACAGACAATGAAAATATCGCAGATAAGACTAAATCTCCAGTTACCCAGCAAACCTCAGTCCTCTATTTCTAGAAGTTGTTATTATTATTATCCGATAATAATAGCAACCCTCCCAACTCAGCTGACACTAGACCCTTATCCCTCAGGGTCACAATGAATTCCAACCCTCCCCCTGTTTCACCCCATCTTTCCTGATAGCCATCCCCAGAAGGTTCAAGGGTGCCAAGAGGCTTATCCTACAGGCTCACCCTTCTATCCCATCAAGGCCCCTCAGGGCAGGGCGTGACATTGGTGGTCAGGCCAGTCCTGAGCCTCCCCTGTGACACTGCCTCCGCCTCCTATCCTAGATGTGTTCTCGTATGATGAGGACGACATGGTCCTGGACCCCAACCTGGCTGAGCACCTGTCCCACTTTGGCATCAACATGCTGAGGATGCAAAAGGTACGATCCGCTCGGGTTTAGATTCTTCTTATTCCTGCCCATTAGGCCCTTCTTCCTTGCCTGGGGCAGAATACTGGAGAGAGTTGCATTTGCCACAGTTATTCCAGTCCCCAGGATATGTGGGCTTTGAAGAATTTTCTAGAATCATGTTCATTCATTGAGTACTCCTGAGTACCTAGTATGCGCTAGTCACTAATAAGGCAGGTGTGGTCCTTCCTTTCTTCCTTTCGACTAATAATATATATATATATATATATGGAAAGGCAGCCATTGATCATACGCTCGCACAAATAACTGAATCATTGAAAACTGTGTGGGGTACAAGAGATTGGAGGGAGCACCGCAGTTTGCCCCGGGAACCTGGCCTAGCCTCGGGCATCAGGGAAGTTTCTCTGAGGAAGCCATTGCTTGAGTGGAGACCTGAGGGGTGAGGAGGGGTAACTTTGGAATGGAAAAAAACGCTTCAGGCAGAGGATATCGCCTTCATTCCTTCCCTCAATCAAGCCTCTGGATCAGTGGCCACCTAGACTTAGACTGGACGATATCCAGCATGCCTCCACCGTTCAGCAGATCTAGGCTCCAGCTGGGTTTCGTCCTAGATCTGTGACAGATCAATGGGAAAACTAGGGCTGAGTCCCACCCCTTGTCTGAAGTGCCCCTTCCCTGCAGACGGACAAGACGATGACCGAGCTGGAGATAGATATGAACCAGCGCATTGGCGAATGGGAGCTGATCCAGGAGTCGGGTGTGTCACTGAAGCCCCTGTTCGGGCCCGGCTACACCGGCATCCGAAACCTGGGTAACAGCTGCTACCTCAACTCAGTGGTCCAGGTGCTCTTCAGCATCCCCGACTTCCAGAGGAAGTGAGTGGTGCCTTCCCCCCCGCCCGGGCTCCGCACCACCTACACCCCAGCTCCTCTCTGGGTCACCAGCTCCGGGGCACACAGCTCTCAGCTGCCCTCTGCACCATCGATACCCAGTCACACACAAGCCCCACTGAGAGCAGAACACCAAATCCCAGGGCTCTCTGAGGCCTCCTGACCGACTCCAGGATGAGCAGGTGGTCTTTATTTTAGGCACATGACGTCAGATAATATCTAACATGAACATGTAACCCTGGGGAAGACGGGGGGACTGGGGACACTAAGGCCAAAGGAAGGCACATGCCTTCTCGAGGGGGCTGGAAGGCTGCCTCAGGGCACTGCCTACTGATGTAGCTGAGAAGGGAAGAAGGGCAGGCCGATGGAGAGAAATGGACTCCGAGGTTCAACCATGTAACTCCCCACTGTGGAGGGAGCCTACCTGCTCAGCTGGTAGATAATTTCTCCCTTTTTGGCTGAGCCCAGGCCAAAGCCCCTCCAACTCTCCTTTCCTTGACTCTTAGGTACGTGGATAAGCTGGAGAAGATCTTCCAGAACGCCCCGACAGACCCGACCCAGGACTTCAGCACCCAGGTGTATGTAGCCAGGTCCTGTGTACGAAGGCTCTGACCACCTCGCAGCCTGTCTGCCTCCTCTCTCCTCCGTGACCGCCTGGAGGGGGCAGCAGTTTAGCCCTGGCCAGTTAGCCGCTGTCAGATGATTGCCTTCTCGGCATGCTTCCTGCCTTGAGATGGGAACCTGAGGTTTCCCACATTTCACAGAGTTGTCTAAGGAGGGCTTTCAGCCAGGATTGAGTTGGGGAGGAAGAGGGATAGCAGATGTCAGATTATCATGGGTTGACTAAAGCCAATTGGTTCTCTTGGGTGTTAACGCAGGGCCAAGCTGGGCCATGGTCTTCTCTCTGGAGAGTATTCCAAGCTGGCCCCGGAGTCCGGCAATGGGGAGCAAGTGTCAGAACACAAGGTGAGTCAAGGACGCTGTCCCTTTCAGGCTCTGGAATTATGGGAAAACTGAGGTCTGGGAGATGTCTCACTTGTTGGCCTCTGGAGCCCCAGCTAATTTGCTGCCCTGGCTCTGCCTAGGAAGTTCAAGATGGCATTGCCCCTCGAATGTTCAAGGCCCTCATTGGCAAGGGTCACCCTGAGTTCTCCACCAACCGACAGCAGGATGCCCAAGAGTTCTTCCTTCACCTGATCAACATGGTGGAGGTAAGGGCTGAGAAGATGACAAGGGAGGGCACTCTTCCAAGTCCTCCCATTCACCTGCAAGTCACTCCCTCCTGCCCCTCCCTGCCTGTCAGCCCCACCCAACCCCACCCCTGCACCTGGCAGTCTGCATGCACTGTGCCTTCCCTGTGCCTCAAGGAGAATAGTAGAGCCCAGCAGTGGTCCTTACTCTTGATGGGCTGCCTCATGAAGGATACACCCCAAAGAAAATGCTCTGTATACTTCCTACTTATCAGGAGGACTACAAGCACACTCCAGTACAGCCCCACAATGCTGTGACCGGGCCAGGATCAGGGAGGGTGGGTAACTAAGGAAGCCTCCACTCTGTTCCGGCATCCTTGCGCGCTCAGGGGTAGTCTCCCTTCCCTTCCCCTCTGCTGCCTCCCTAACCACCAAGGACCCTATTAGGCCCCCGTTTCAGTCCCTGGCTACCCAGACCTCCCCACCTGCCTCTCTCCCATAGAGGAATTGCCGGAGTTCTGAAAATCCTAACGAGGTGTTCCGCTTCTTGGTGGAGGAAAAAATCAAGTGCCTGGCCACAGAGAAGGTGAAGTACACGCAGAGAGTGGACTACATCATGCAGCTGCCTGTGCCCATGGACGCGGCCCTTAACAAAGGTAGGGGCTCTCAGCAGAGCTTTGTTAAAAAAAAAAAAATAGCAAGACCATATACAGATGCTTGTCGGGTGGGACACAGAGCCAGCAGGGCCAGGCGAGGAGGGAAAGGGCGTGACCCTCTGAAGGATCCACCCACCAATTCTGTCACCAGAGGAGCTTCTGGAGTATGAGGAGAAGAAGCGGCAAGCCGAGGAGGAGAAGCTGCCACTGCCGGAGCTGGTTCGGGCCCAGGTGCCCTTCAGCTCCTGCCTGGAGGCCTACGGGGCCCCCGAGCAGGTGGACGACTTCTGGAGCACCGCTCTGCAGGCCAAGTCAGTAGCTGTCAAGTAAGTCCTGTTGGCCCGGGCTGAGGGTTCCGGGCCTCTGTCAGGGCGGTCCCTGAGATACCATCTGCCCCTTCCTCACTCTGTCGTTTCTTTTTTGGGTGGAATCTCAGAATTGCATCAGTGACTGGAATGGGAAACCAAGAGGCCCTGGGGGGAACCAAGAGGCTCCAGCAGGAGCAGACGCAGACGATTATTACATATTCCTTATCCTGGCCAACCCCTCCCTCTTCCTCATGGCACAGGGTCACTTTAGTCAGCTCTCCACTCCCTCGGTCCTGGCAGGGCAGGCACTGAGTATCACTGGTGAACAGAGGGTGGGTTTCCAGCAAATGCTTTTACTTTTTGCCTAACTGTGTTGGCATGAGCTTGAGATCTGTAAGAGTGCTGTGGTCTTCAGAGACGTCAGCCACCCACCCCTGTGCTGCTCCTGTCAACAAGCCAGCCCTTGTCCTGGCTCCCGCCGCTCCGTTTGCCGATGCCCCGATGCCTGCCCAGGGCGAGATGAGAATATGGGGTATCTTCTGGCTGTTAGGTCTTCTGCCCATGAGAGGCTGAACCCCAGGGTGGGGCTTTCAGGATAGAAGCTTGGGATTGTCTGGGTACCAGGACATTCTCTCTTCCCTAGGACCACACGATTTGCCTCATTCCCTGACTACCTGGTCATCCAGATCAAGAAGTTCACCTTCGGCTTAGACTGGGTACCCAAGAAACTGGGTATGATGGCTGGGACACGTGAGGGAGGTTAAGCAGAAAATGCTAGACGAAGAAGAGGCCTTGGTATATGTAAACTAATGTTTCTCTAACTTCCCTCTGAAAGAAGAAAGCATTACCTTAGATGTTTCAAAATGTGTCTAGTTTGAAAAGCACTGACCAAAAATATTAGAAGACTTCTTTGTGGTTTTTTTAATATATTGATTTAAGAGAGAGAAACATTGGTTTGTTCCACTTATTTATGCATTCATTGGTTGGTTCTTGTAGATGCCCTGATCAGGGTTCAAACCCATAACCTTGGCATATGGGGACGCCACTCTAACCAACTGAGCTACCTGGCCAGAGCCAAGACTTCTTTGATTTTAGTTATAATTTACAACCCAAAAACTCTTTGTAGTTTAAAAAAAATTTTTTTAAATATATTTTATTGATTTTTTACAGAGAGGAAGGGAGAGAGATAGAGAGCTAGAAACGTTGATGAGAGAGAAACATCAACCAGCTGCCTCTTGCACACCCCCTACTGGGGATGTGCCCGCAACCAACGTACATGCCCCTGACCGGAATCAAACCTGGGACCTTTCAGTCCGCAGACCGATGCTCTACCACTGAGCCAAACCGGTTTCGGCCTGTAGTTTTACAATTTTTATTTTTACAGTTGTTAAGATGTTTTCATTTTAATAATCTGGAAATAATTAGTTCTCATGGACCTTACAGGCCCCTGGTGATTTTGAGAACTCTGATTTAACTTCATTTCCTAGATAAGTGGAGACTCACAGAAGTATAAAATTCTGTCCCACAAGTTGGAGGCCCTTCCTTGCCCGTAGCTCATTTATGGTCTGTTTAGGACTAGAATCCAGGTCTCCTGACTCCCAGGCCACAATTATTTTTATTACACCAGATCCCTAAGATTAGATTCTCTAAACAGCGTCATATTCCAGGGCAGTGCTAAGATATGGTGCCTGGGCTTGAGCGTCCAAAGTGCTTTTTCAGGGACGGCCCCAGGGAGCTCCTGAGTGACCTTTTCCTGCCGTTCCCATTACAGATGTGTCCATCGAGATGCCAGATGAGCTAGACATCTCCCAGTTGAGGGGTACAGGGCTGCAGCCTGGAGAGGAGGAGCTGCCTGACATTGCCCCACCCCTGGTCACTCCGGATGAGCCCAAAGGTAGCCTTGGTTTCTATGGCAACGAAGACGAAGACTCCTTCTGCTCCCCTCACTTCTCCTCTCCGACATGTTAGTGATTCTTTTTCCTGCCTGTCTCTCTCCCTTACTGATGGGGGTCTTCTCTGCCTGCCTCCCCACAATCCTGTCCTCTGTGTTTCTCCTGTCCTCCCTTTCCAATTTCCTCCGCCCTGACTGAGGACCCACTGAAGCACACCCAGCCACATTCTCCGTGTGGATGGTAGTAGTGTGGGCTAATTGCCTCCCTACCCTTGTCATCTACTGGTTAGGGGTGGGGGCTAATGTAATATTCCAGAGAAAGGGCCCATTCTGTGAGACTGGGCAAGGAAGGGGATCCGTGGGGAAACTTCAGCTTTGGTGTGTGCCTTTAGGATATTGGACCCACTTTGTGTTGCCTGTCGTTTCAGTTCTGGGATAAGGTGCCAGGCTGTGGAAGAAAAATGCATGGAAGGAGTGGTTGGGAGAGGGCTGGGGGCTGGCGTGTGGGGAAGAGGAGAAGGTGGAGCCAATAGTGGCCCAAGGAGTCGGTCACTGTGCCCACACTTCTCCACCACAGCCCCCATGTTGGATGAGTCGGTCATCATCCAGCTGGTGGAGATGGGCTTCCCGATGGATGCCTGCCGCAAAGCTGTCTACTACACCGGCAACAGCGGCGCCGAGGCCGCCATGAACTGGGTCATGTCTCACATGGATGATCCAGGTAGGTAGGGATGGGTAGCAGGGCCTGGCAGGGCCACCGTCCTCCCCCAAATACTTCAACCCTTTTGCATCCACAGATTTTGCAAACCCCCTCATCCTGCCTGGCTCCAGCGGGCCTGGCTCCACCAGTGCGGCTGCGGACCCCCCGCCGGAGGAGGGCGTGACCACCATCGTCTCCATGGGCTTCTCCCGGGACCAGGCCCTCAAAGCTCTGCGGGCCACGGTAGGGGGCTGCCCCCTGCTCAGGACTGGGGCCTCTGGTGACAAAGGGGGTGGACATGAGGTTCCATCCTTTATAAGCAAGCCCGGGGACAGCCACTGTGGTATGGCCACGGCTCGCTCCACCCTTTGTGGCTGTGACAAAGGAGCTGAGGCTTTCCCTGGTGGTTCTCTTGCCCCCGAACTTGTTGGAAATGTAATGCCTTCCTCCTCTCCAAGAACAATAGTTTAGAACGGGCTGTGGACTGGATCTTCAGCCACATTGACGACCTAGACGCAGAAGCTGCCATGGACATCTCGGAGGGCCGCTCAGCTGCCGACTCCATCTCTGAGTCTGTGCCGGTGGGACCTAAAGTCCGGGATGGTTCTGGAAGTGAGTGTCCCCGGGAAAGAGGACAGGCCTGGTAGGATCTAGCCAGTCTGCTCTACCAGAGCCTCATTCCAAGGCGGCTCTGCTTCCCTCGGGGCAGGAGCTTTTTCCTGAGACATGACTCCTGATGGGATTCTAGGAGGCGGAGACAGACTTTGACCCAGTCCATGCCTGCACTCGCTGAATCTGAGCTGTTAGATATGTCTTTGGGCTGTCAGTCACTCCAGGATCCCTTTCTCATTGTCTTCTCTCCCTCCCCTTCACTCCATCCCTAGAGTACCAGCTCTTTGCCTTCATCAGTCACATGGGCACCTCCACCATGTGTGGGCACTACGTCTGCCACATCAAGAAGGAAGGCAGGTGAGGGGCCACGGTGTGCGCTGGGAATGGGGGAGTGGTGGTAGAAGTGAGCAGGGCCATCCTGGAGACCCTTAGAGTAGGTGGAGAAGGTGAAGGACTGCCTGGTGGGGCCACAAATCCACCGGGGATGAGCGTGCCTGACCGCAAACATCAGGCACACTACAGCCCTCTGGACTGGGCCGGGCCTCTTGCTTTTGTAAGCAGTTTTAATGAGCATAACTATACTTACTCATTTATGTATTATCTGTGCTGTAGAGTAGCTAATAGCTTTTCAATGGCCTGCCAAACCTGCTGGTCCTTTACAGAAAAAGCTTGCCGATCCCTGCCTTATAGGAATGGGTTAGGGGTGGGGATGGCTGTAAGGATGCTGGAGGATCTGCAGGCACCGAGCAGGGGAAATGGTCTTTGTCAGACAGGCAGCAGCTGGACTAGGTGTGGGGAGCTTTCCCCGCAGTCACCAGGATTGACACCAGAGGCTGGGTCAGAGAAACCTGGTTGAAGCACTGTGGGCTGCTCAGTTTGTTCATCCTTTCCCACCTCTCCCCACCTTTCCCAGATGGGTGATCTACAATGACCAGAAAGTGTGTGCCTCTGAGAAGCCACCTAAGGACCTGGGCTACATCTACTTCTACCAGAGAATGGCCAGCTAAGAGCCTGTCCTGACCTTCACCGCGGAGGGCAGCGGCAGGCCACCGGGCATGAGGGAGAGGGGCTGGGAGTGGACCGCAGCTGCTGGCTCTGCACCCTTTTCCTTTTTGTCCCCTGCAGCAGGGAAGGAGCTAGAGGCGCTAGGAGAAAGGCTGAGCAGAGTAGAAGGACGCTCAAGAGACTTTGGGGATAGAGCAGGAAGGGGACGGGAGGGTGTCTGCCTGTCTGTGAGGAAACTATGTTGCTTCCCCTCCCCCTGGGCCCTCGTTCCTCTGCTTCTCTAGTCCTGCCAGCTCCTGGTGTGGAAGGGGCTTATTTGTGTGTGAGTGTGTGTGTGTGCGTGCGTGTGCGTCGCTTTGTGCAGCCTCTTCCACCGAAGGGGGTGTCTCTGCTCCCCCTTCCCCTTTGTGTTTGCTCCCTGTGTGGTCAGGTCAGGAGGGATATGAGGGAAATGGGAACCCCCTCGCCCTCCTGCCTCAGTCTTTCCTCTACCCTGTCTCTTCCCTGTCCTCTGGAAAATGCCAAAACACATGATGTGAATAAAAGTACAATGGGTTAAACTGTGTCCTGTTTGAGACGGTGGGAGTTGTCTTCCCTGGGGCTAGCGGGAAGGCCCGTGTCCAAAAACTCCCAGCCTTGCCCCTTCTGTAGGCAATTCTCTCCTTTTCAGTAGTTTTTGAAGCTCTTGGGAAACTGAGGGTGAGGTGTATGCTAGGGGCTGTGAGATCTGGGGAACTGGTGTGGGGTAGCAGAGCAAAAAGGGGGCAAAAGCCCTTCCTTCCAGGCCCCTCACACTTCCTCCAGGGGCCCAAGTGGGTGCTCCCCGATATCCCTAGTGGCCAAAGAGCCCTGGCCCCAGGCCTGCAGTCTTTCAGGCCTTGGCCAACCGGAGCAAGGCGCAAGGCGTGGGATACTCCTGGGGGCCCTCGGGGTTCCGACGGCCTCTTTCTTAGCTGTGCCGTGTCTGTGCCAATGTGGGCGTCCCTCTCCCTCTGAACCCTGTCACTTGTCCAGTGACTGGGCTAGGCTCTCCCTGCCTGGGTCAAAGGTACCCGCTCAGCAGTCAGATGTGTAAGCTGCTTGGATGGGCGGAGTCCCTCTTCCCAGAGATGGGAAGATGGCCCTCGGAGCCCCCTCAGTGCCCAGTACCCTGGTCTAGCCCAGCAGGGGAGTGGGTGGACCTGCCCTGGAAACCACTTCTACCCCCTGATCCCCCACCTCCGGAGCTGTAGTCCCCACGAGAGGCGCCCCTCCCCCAGCGCAGGGGTTCCGAGGCCTCCTGCGCCCCAGCCCTAGAACGTTGCTACAAGAAAGGGGGCAACGTCAGAACGCGGCAGCGGGCGGGCCGGCGGGGCGGGACTCGGGGGCAGGACTTGGGCAGGGCCGGGCTCACATGGCGGAGGAGGCGGAGTTCTGCTTCTCGGCGCTCTATATAAGCAGCCAGTGGCCGCGGCTGCGCCGTGAAACTGACCTTCAGTGTGTCGGCTTCAGCGACATGGCGCCCTCCAGGAAGTTCTTCGTCGGGGGAAACTGGAAGATGAATGGGAGGAAGAGCACTCTGGCGGAACTCATCAGCAATCTGAACGCCGCCAAGATGCCGGCCAACACCGGTGAGCCTCGCGGGGGCGGGAGCGGGGGGGAGGGCAGGGCAGGGGAGGGGGCGGGCGGGCAGCGCCCTCTCCGAGCTCCGGAGTCCCCGCGGCCCGGGCGCGGGCTGAGCGCCCGAGCTCCTGGACGCGGGCATGGACCCGCGGCGCCGGGTGTGTGTGTGTGTGTGTGTGTGTGTGTGTGTGTGTGTGGCGGGGGGATCGGGGCTAATGGTGCCCTCGGCAGCGGGGCCGGGAAGGACTTGGTGGGTGTTCGGAGGAAGATGGCCCTTTGGGAGGACGGGGCTGCACCGCTGGGAGCCGGGCCTGGAGGGAGGCCAGCCCCGCGGGCGATCGGGAGAGGCTGGGGCGGGGAGGCGGGAGGCGGGAGGTGGGCGTGCGGCCTCCGCCACCTGCCCCCTCGGCTCGGCTCGGCTCGTGCGCCGCCGCACGTAGCCCGAGGCTCCTCCCGGCGCCTGGCTGCGGCCGAGGCCCCCGGCGCTGCTCCGGCTTCCGGGGCTGCCCGCTCTGACCCTTCACCCTCGGAGCTGGGTGAGCCCTGCCTTCGCGGATGCGGCTGAGCAGGGGCCAGACAGCCGGGCCATTTGTGAATGAGGAGCGACCCGACTGCTTTCTCCAGCCCGGAGCCGGGGAAAGCGCGGCGTCTCCTCCGTACCCCCAACCCCTGCAGAGTGCTGTCCTCAGTCCTTCCCCTCCACGGAAATCACAGAACCCCGGGCCTGATCAGAAAGGGGCAGCCCCTTCTGGTTTACTCCCCAGAGGCCCCAATACCAACCCCGACATGGCCCCTTTCTGCTTTTGCTAAAAACCCTTGCCTTGCCTGCGAGAGCTATTTTGGAAGGGAGGCTGGATTGGGCCCCAGAGAAAGCTGAGTCTCTTTGGTGCTCAGGCCCAGAATAGCGCCAGGAAATCAGAGCCACAGCTGTTAAAAGAGCAGAGGGCAGGGCCATGGCCTCAGGGGCACCTGGAAGGCTCTAGGAATTGGAAACGGGCCCAATCGGGGATGTGGACAAAGATCATCTTGTTGGGGTGAAGAGGGAAGGAAAGCAAAACTCAGGCAGTTGGGGAAGGCTAGGGGTTCTAGAGCCCTGGATGGAGTCTAGAGAATGAAGACTTGCTTGTGATCTCATCCTCAGAGGTGGTTTGTGCACCCCCCACCGCCTACATTGACTTCACCCGGCAGAAGCTGGATCCCAAGATCGCTGTGGCTGCCCAGAACTGCTACAAAGTGCCTAACGGGGCTTTTACTGGAGAGATCAGGTGAGATGTATGTGGGAGGAGGGTGTGTGGGGACCCTCCCCTCGTTTTCCTCAGTGAGGGGGAAGCCACAGGTGGACTCCCTGTGGAACTGTGACTTGTCTCTTCTCGCAGCCCCTGCATGATCAAAGACTGCGGAGCCACCTGGGTAGTCCTGGGGCACTCGGAGAGAAGGCACGTCTTTGGGGAGTCCGATGAGGTTAGTAACGAGGAGAAGAAGTTAAGAAATGCCTTGTTTCAGGAGCAGTGTTTCACCGAGTCTGTTCCTCCACAGCTGATTGGGCAGAAAGTGGCCCATGCCCTGGATAAAGGACTTGGAGTGATCGCCTGTATCGGGGAGAAGCTAGATGAGAGGGAAGCTGGTATCACCGAGAAGGTCGTTTTTGAACAAACCAAGGTCATCGCAGGTATTTCTGAAGGGAACCTATGAACCCAGCCAAGCCCATGAAGGCACAGAGGGTGGGGTCAGATGCCCTGCAGCCTGACTTGGTCCCCAGGATACAGGAAAGGGAAAGGGAAGGTGGGAACCCTTGCTTCCTCTCCATCACTTCGGCTCCTGCCCCATGGAATTGATGCCTCTTGGAGTTTCTTAAACAGCCACAAGGGGGCAGCAGACCACCCTCTTTATTTCCCTGCTACCAAGCTCCATGGCTCCCTCCTGTTTACCCTGCCATCTGTGATCTCTGCCCCCCAGATAACGTGAAGGACTGGAGCAAGGTTGTTCTGGCCTATGAGCCTGTGTGGGCCATCGGCACAGGGAAGACTGCAACACCCCAACAGGTAACCATGCCCAGGAGCCCCACCCTACCCTACCCTGCTTGGGTAGAACTGACAGCAGAGACCATCTGGGACAACCTTCATTTTAAAGACAGGACACCCTCCCCCCTCCTCCCCCCCAAGCCCAGAGGAGGAGAATGATTTGCCCAAGGACATCCATTCCAGGGCCTGGGGTGTGTGTGTGAAGAGCCCTGGTGTTGTAACTGGGATCTCGGGGTTTCTAGGATTCCCTGAAGCAACACTGCCCGCCGGGGTGTTTTTCCCCTTTGAGGGAAAGGCAGAAAGAGTCTTAACTTCGTCTGGCTGCTTGTTCTAGGCCCAGGAAGTACACGAAAAGCTCCGGGAATGGCTGAAGTCCAATGTCTCTGATGAAGTGGCTCAGTGCACCCGCATCATTTATGGGGGTGAGTGGGTTTGCTCCGGCCTGAGGTGGGGTGGGCTGGGAACTAGACTGAGCCCAGCCCATCCCTGACCATTTGCCCCCACGTCTCCTTTCCCAGGTTCTGTGACCGCGGCAAACTGCAAGGAGCTGGCGTGCCAGCCTGATGTGGATGGCTTCCTCGTGGGGGGTGCATCCCTCAAGCCTGAATTCATAGAGATCATCAATGCCAAACAATAAGCCCGAATCCATCTCCCTGCCCTTCCTGCTATGCCAAGGACTGTGGAGATCAGAAGTCCAATAACTGCCCCTCCTTACCCCCACCCCCACACATACTTCAGATGGGATCACCTGCTCCCTGTGGCCTAATCCACACTGTAGCTCTCCTTTACCATGTACACCTGTAATGACTGGGTCTAGCCCTTCTCTGCTTACTATAATAATTGGAACAAAACACGTCACCAAGATGGCTTCTCCTTGGCTGAGGTAGAAGGGTGGGGTTTGCTCGTGAGCCCCTCAGTCCCCACTGAAGGCAGGAGAGAGAAGCCATCCTCCTCTCCCATCTCATACACGAGGCCGAGGGCTGGAAAGAGCCCTGTCCTCCCCGGTGCCATTGCCTGTGCGTTGTGTATGTGAGCAGTCCCACGTGGGGGTGGGAATAAACATCTGGCATTAAGCTTTGTGGTTTGTCCTTCATTGTACTTGTTTCCACATCATTTCTCTTTATTTTTTTGAGGCAGCCACGGGACCCTTGGGGGGGGGTAGTGGGGGGAAAGCCACAAACAGGTTTTTGCAACAGCAGGTCTCATTATTTTTACTTGGGAAAAAAACTGTCTTGTGTACCAGGCGCCACAGTCTTGAATAACAGCTCCTTCTCTTCACTTGCTGGGTGGCTCGGGTGTTCAGTTCCCCAGAGCCTGGGTTGGGGCTAGGGGCCCAGCCTCACTGGTTTTAAGTAGCTGGTCCAACCAGCAGTACCCCGGGGGAGGTGTAGCATCAAGGCCCCCAAATCTGGTGTCACAGGGTCACTGGTAGAGCAGGTAGCGCTTCATGGCAGGGGGCAAGGGCAGTGCAGATACCTGGCCCATCCGGGTAGCCCCCAGAGCTTGGCGCACGCACAGGCGGCTCAGGTGCAGCAGGGAGTGTGGCTCCGCTGGGGAGAGAAGGAGAGGAAGGTTAGGGGTGCAGCCACCAGCTAGACATCCTCAAGTTACAGGGTCCCTTCCACTCTCCTGCTCTGAGCCTGCTCCTACCTTGGTTGAGAGATCTAGTGCACTCTGAAGTTCTGCATCTGCTCTCAAGGTTGGAGGCATCACACCCCCAGTCAGAGCTGGGGGTGAAGCTCTAGCTAAGGCCTCTAAGCAACAGGGTGAGGGACTCTGACGAGGGTGGAGCTGGCCCAGGCTTTGATTCCAGTGAGGCCTTGGGAATGGGGCTGATGAGGTGAAAGGACAGACCTACACTCAACAGCTCACCATGGGTGATGGGAGGAGAGGTGCCCAGCCTCTGCGAAGACTACAGCTGCAGAGAACAGTTAGGTTCCAGCAGCTTGAAAGCCAGGCCCCATTGGTTCCCCAAGGAGGTCCTTCCCCTGCAGCTCCACCCCAAACCCTGCCCCTGCTGCTCTCTTTCCAGGTGGGGGGAGGGTGGGCTCAAAGGCCCCTTCCTGGGGTTTGACTGAGGAAGTAGGCATGTATGCGTCACAGGTCAGAGCTCGGGGAATCACACCCTGGGTGCCTGGCACCGCCTGTCCTCTTCCTTTGGAGATTGTACGCTAGCCCAGCACCCATTAACCCTTTGCACCTGTGACCCAGGAGCTGACAGCCCCGGTAAAGCCCTAATCCCCGGAGGGCCTCCCTCCATTCTGGGGGATCACCACTTAATGGCAAATTGCGTACCCAAGCCTCACCTTTACCTCTGGTGCTGTTGGGAGGATTAAATCAGGTAAGAGCTGTGAAGACCCTTAGCCATTCCTGGCACTGAGTAAGGGGTCCGATGAAAGCCCCTTCCCTTCCCCTTGTAAAGGCACTGAGTTTCCAACCCAAATCACAGCCGCCAGTGACGGAACACTCTCCCACACCTACCCCAGGCCTCACCTCTCCTTTTGCCCAGGTAGCGGATGCCGACCTGGCACTGGCCCCAGACAGCGCTTACTGCTGGGTAGAGGGTCCTGCCCTTCAGTCCGCGGAAGGCTGGCCCCAGGTAGGTGCCCCCAATAGCGTAGCCCAGAGTCCCCTCCTCCATGTCCAGAACCACCTGCAGCCTCTCCGGCACCTCCAGCTGCTCACCCTGAGGTCCGGGTGGATATTGGGGGGCCCCGGGCTCCTTGCTCTGATGGTACAGCTTCCCCCGCCCAAGGTCCCAGCCCCACGACTCGCTGTTGCTGCCCAGCAGCGCCGCGTAGTGGTCGGCCTGCAGCGGGGCGCGGGCCGTGGCCACACCCACCACGGCGTGGGTGCCCCTCTGCTCGCGCGGCCAGCTGATCTCCCAGGCGTGCAGGCCGCTCGAGTAGCCCCTCTTCCCCCGGACCCCGTCGGTGCTCTGGGCCACGGGCCGCCGCTCAAAGCACAAGCCCCCCTCCTTGACCTCGATGTTCTCCGAGCAGTCCTTGGGGTTCCAGCCGTGGCACCGTTGGGTTCCCAGGTCCGGAGGGGGAGCGGAGAGCAGCTCCTCCAAGCCTTTGGGACAAGAGTGATCGGGGTACAGGGCCTGTGGGGCGGGGGCGCTGCTGCTGCCCCCCGCCAGGGCCGTCTGGCCCATGGGGCGAGGAGCTGGAGGGTTCCCCGAAAGAGGCTCGCTGGGCCGTCTCTCGTCTGCAAGTTGCGCTCCGGCTCGGGACGGACCTGGAACGGAGTTGGGAGAGAAGAGACTGTCGAGTGAGGGGACCCGGCGGGGGGCTCCTCGCCCATGCGCCCCGTCCTTCCACCCGTTTGCCCACGGCCCCGCTCCTCCCTCGCCGTTGGCCCCCAGCTCTCGGCCCATCGCCCCGCCCTCGCCCATCGGTCGCCGTCTCCCGAGGGCTCGCCCGCTCCGGGCCTCTCCAGGCGCCGTCCCCCTCGCCCGCCCCGTGCCCGCGTCCCCCGTGGGCCCCGAACCTCGCTGGGCTCCCCAAGCCGGGAGGCGGCCGGGCCCGAGCAGGAACCCGGCGTTAAGTCACTGAGGGGCGCGGGGCGCCGAACGCCGCCGCTTCCGCCTGCAAGCCCCGCCCCTGGCTTGGGCCCGCCCACTGCCCCGCCCCATCGTGGCGCCCGCGCGGGAGGGGGCGGGGGAGGGTGTCACCCCGTCGCGCCCCGCCCCGAGGCCACGCCCCTGGGAGGCCCTCCGGGGCCGTTCATCTCTCTTCTTGCGTCGCTTTGGGGTCCCTGGGGGGGGGTCCGTCCTCCTGGGAGCCACCTGGGCAGCCACGTCCTGAGCCCTTAGGGACGAGGGGCACGGGGTCCAGGGGATCCTCCCATCGTGCTGACCTCCACTCCCATGGTCCTGGGCTCCGGGCCACCGTTTCCGGGCAGGGCTCTTTCTGAGTCAGTTGTGAGTCAGCCCGTTCTAAGCCTGAGGTCCCGAACCCTGTGTTTCCGGCTGGGAGCGGTAGGAGTCACAGGTCTCCAGGCTGGTCCATCCTTTCCTAAACTGTGGGTCTCATTGGGAGAGTGGAGTGGTTACGGTCTTGGTTGTGACGGTTTGCCTCAGAGCGTGGGCCTGAGGATTCAAGGGTCCCGGGTTCGATTCCGGCCAGGGGCATGTGCCTTGGTTGCAGACACATCCCCATCAGTGCGGGGGGGAGGGGGGTGCAGGAGGCAGCTGATTGATATTTCTCTCTCATCCATGTTTCTGACTCTCCCTCTCCCTTCCTCTCTGTAAAAAATTAATAAAATATATATATTTAAAAAAAAAAAAAAAAAAAGACCTTGGTTGTGAGTGAAGCTATGCCACTCCGAAATTAGCTGTGTGATGTGAGGAACATCCATCTGTTGCCTACCCATGCGCCCTGACCCGGGATGGAACCCGCAGCCTGGTATGTGCCCTGACTGGGAATCTAACCAGCAACTTTGTTGTGTACCAGATGAGTATCCAACCAATTGAGCCACCTGGGCAGGGCAAAATTTTATAATATACTAGAGGCCCAGTGCACGGATTTGTACACCGGTGGGGTACCTCAGCCTGGCCTGCACCCTCTCGCAATCCGGGACCCCTTGGGGAATGTCCAGCTGCCAGTTTGGCCGGATCCCAGGGAATTGTAGGGTTTAAACTGGCAGTCCAACATTGCCCCAGGGATGTAGTTGTGCAGGAAGCAGCAGGCAGCCCGGAAGGAGGAGCCTGAGCCTGGGCCAGGCACGTACCACTCCCGCTCATCCTGGCCCCGCTGCCGCTCAGTAGCACAGCAGTGGAGACAGGAGAGGCTCACACAGCCACAGCTTCGCTTTACAGCCCTGAGCCCAGCATCTGCTGCCGCCGTGGGAGCTCACTGACCACCAGGGGTCAGCTCCTGCATTGAGCATCTTCTCTCTGGTGGTCAGTGTTCGTCACAGTGACAGGTCGACCTGTTGTTCAGTCATTCAGTTGTTTGGTTCCTTAGGCTTTTATATATTAATTAAAGAGGGGGGGAAGCATATTAATAGCATATTAATAAAAAAGATGTAAACCTGAACACCTGTCATCCATTCAACCTGGAAATTCTTATCAGTGTGACAACAAAAATAATGACTGTGGATAGTGGACTGTGGATAGTGCAGGACCTGTGTATAACCAAGTGGATGAAGCAAGTCTATATTATAGCCACTCCAGTTCAGCCTGGGAAGTAGCTGACTGTTTAAAACATGGTGTTCACCAGTTGTTGCCACTGGATCTTGAACTGCTCAAACATTTAACAGCTCAAACATTCCATAATGCTACAAGTAATATTAACTTTTTATTTTTTATTCATATGTAACACATGTAAAGTCCACTAACTGTAAATTGCTCAATGAATTTTTACATATTTATATGTTACGTGACCACCATTTCCAGCCTCAAGATCAAGTGTATCTCCAGCGTTCCTTCCTGTAGGCTCCTTTCCTGCCCTTTCCCTAACCCTACACCCCTAAAGGTCCCTACTATTTGACCTCTATCAGTATAGATTGGCTTTGCCTCTTCTTCAATGAAACCATAAAGTATGCATTCTTTTGTATCTGGCTGATTTTTCTCAATATTATGTCTGTGAGTCATCCATGTTATATGAAACAGTAGCTCCTTATGTTCAATGTTTTACAGTATTCCATTGTATATATGTACTACAATGTGTCTATTCTTGATGGGCATTTGAATTGTTTCCAGTTTGTAGCTAGTATAGAGAAAGCTAGGTACAGTATTGTACAAGTCTTTTGGTGGACTTAAGCACTCATTTTATTGGTTGTGAGTGAAGCTGTGCCACTAATTAGCTATGTGATGTTCGAAATATCGATCTCTCTTTATGAGCACACTCATGAATTCTGTACCCTTATGTGCACAATTGCTGGTTTATAAAAGTTTATAATGTATAGATTTAGCCACATGTAATTAGCCACAGGTTTCTCTTCACAGAGCGCTTTTATTCAGAATTAAGTCATTTAGGTATTTGGCAGTATGGAACACTTCAACACATCCTTGTAGTTTTGAACTGATCTTTTCTTCCTGTTCATCATATCTTTTTTTTTAATATATTTTATTGATTTTTTACAGAGAGGAAGGGAGAGAGATAAAGAGTCAGAAACGTTGATGAGAGAGAAACATCGACCAGCCGCCTCCTGCACATCCCCTACCCGGGGATGTGCCCGCAACCAACATACATGCCCTTGACCAGAATCGAATCCGGGACCTTTCAGTCCGCAGACCACTGAGCCAAACTGGTTTCGGCCTGTTCATCATATCTTTGTCTTTGGGGATTTTATCAGTTCCTCAAACCTTTTTTTTTTTTTTTTTTTTTTTTTTTTTCCTATTTTCATTAGTTTACTAAGGGGTGTATGCCCTGTAATCTTAAACTGCACCACAGAACCATCCTGCCCCACCACCTTCAACATAGTCTTAACTCCTTCCTTGGTTTTTTTGTTGGTCACGGCCAGTGCTGGAGTCTCCTCAGCTACCACTGCACCAAAGGGGTACCAGGTCTGCACCAAAGGCGCACACAAGCAGCACCAGAAGCAACAGCAGTGGAGAAGGGAGAGGGTGTGTGTATGCTATGCCAGGTCCTCAAGGTTTTTATCAGTGTTTCTGTGTGGCTCTCAAGCCTGGCCAGTGTGGCTCAGTGGTTGAGCGTCAACCTATGAACCAGGAGGTCATGGTTCAATTCCTGGTCAGGTCACATGCTTGGATTGCATGCAGGAGGCAGCCAATCAATGATTCTCTCTCAGCATTGATGTTTCTGTCTCTTTCCCTCTCCCTTCCTCCCTGAAAAAAAAAATTTTTTTTTAAGAAGAAGCTCTTCTATTTCTCCCACAAGCCACCACTATCCACTTGCTAGGCCACAATGAAACATCGAGCTTCATTCCTTAACATCCTAAACACAGTCTTCCCAAAATGCATGGACTGTTTTAGGCTTGTTTCCTGTCTGTTTAATATAAAGGATGCAACTGGCAATACTGAAGAATTTCCAACTCTCCCAGCTTATTACCATATTGAGATAAGCAGTCCTGGCTCAGGCGGAATCTCAGCCTCCTGATGTGGCTTTGAAGAATATCAAAGCCATATCAGTGAGGGCTGGGGTGATGTGCGGAGGAAGACTTTGGTGTCTTTATAAGCACACCCAAAGCACGTGGTACCTTGGCATGGCACTGCTGTCTGCTGTCTGCAACACTGAAGCCAAGGCCTTTCTCTTTGAGGTCCCAGTCTACTTCTAAAACCAACCCAGGACAATGCTGCCACCCTGGATTTTGCATTTGATTTCTCCGGTACGAGCAAAAACATGGTGTCTTCTTTTACGGTACGGGGGTCTGTATCCCTGTAGAACATATTGCGCTTTAGTAAATACAGAGCTACACTGCCACCATGAGAGATGGAGGGAGGGGCGGTCATAAGGGCATTAGCTACCTTCAGACTAGGACCCTGTATATCTAGTTTGGACACAAAAGCAGTTGGGGATTTTCCTTCTAGAAGATACCAGGTTCATTATATTCTGGAAGACAGCCCTTTGGCCAGTAATTCTTTTCAATAGCTCTGGGTGGATTTTGCTGCCTGTTCCTCCACAGATACAGCCTCACCAACAGTTTGCACGTTTTTGAGGTTAAAGTGGTTTCTAAAACTCTTATGCCATCTGAGGCTGGTTGGGAAATCCTCCCATCCAAAGGCAGTCTCCTCTGGCAGGAGGTTTGAACTGTGACTTGAGACCAAGAGCTTTCTTCCTCCTCTCCACGCCCCTCCCCTTTTTTTTCTTGCCACATACTGCCATTGTTAGTAATAGATTTCTGGTTCATTTTATCCAGGCATAAATTTAGTGCTCTTTCAGACTTCATTAAAGAAGTTATCAGGGGACCCTATCCCCCTTCCCACATGGGATTCTGTGCTGTGAGATTCTTTCCCCTTCTCCACGTAGGAGTCGGTACATGTTCTTCAATAAATTTCCATCTTTGCTATACAAAAAAATAAAAAGAGTCATAGGGAGAGATCAACCAAAGGACTTATATGCATGCAAATAAGTCTAACCAATGGTCACGGACAACAGGGGGGTGGGGGCATACGTGGGGAGGGGTTTGGGGTGTGAATGGGGGGGATGAGGACAATTATGTGATACCATAATCAATTAAAAAAATAGA